GTACTAGACCAACTAAATTCCGCGCTGATCCCTGGAAAACATGCGGCTTTCTAGTGTTCGCATTGTTTTGCAAATTTTCAAGACGTTGCGTGGCTATCTTCCAAGTACTCAACCATTTGTCTATACCAAGGTGTACTCTGCTGTGGCAATAAGCTATTTGATAACGATCTGGATCGTACCTCTCGGGTGCAGCCATTGGGTGCTCCTAAAACGATCGTCGCTATGCGTCGATTCCTTTCCGATGTAATATACTAACACAATGACGTACCATTCCCGTCGGGCTTAACCTTTTACATAATCTATCCAGAAGATTGGTCGTATCCAATTCAACTTATGGTAGGCGCCTCTGAGCTTCCGCCTTTAATCCGCTTAGTACTTACGTTTTCATAAGCCCCGGTAAATTCAGTAGGGCTGATGAACAACTGGAAATATAACTATGCTCACTCTCATCAATAACCCGCGGAGTGAAAGGAACTGGCGACATTGTGATAATCGCTAGTCGGTTCATTGCTGATTGTTTACTTGCCACGGATTTTCCCGGGTAATTTCTCTCCGGATGCGTAGTCCAACGTGGTCACACGAGGAACAATCGTTGAGAATTGCGTTCTAAATGTCAAAGTTTACACTTTATGCGTTCTGTAAACGGCCAAACCCTGGTAACTTGTTGATTCAAGCGTATCCATAGAACCGGAAACATACGCAATAATTTGCCTCCTAGCACTGATCCGCAGCAACAACACAATTCGCTCGGAAACACTCCGCACAAGTCAAATACGAATGAGCTCATGGATGGACTGAACCATTATTCTGCGATGCAACGGCTCTTTAAGCGTCGTGCTAGTTGGCATTGGTCAGCTGGTCAAGCTACGGTTATGCAATCTACAAATGGATTAAGAGGAGCAAAATGTAGATAGCATAGTCTGGTGAGTAATACCATGGAGCTTACATAGTAGTGTGAATCGCGGCCGAATAATAACACTAAGAGGAAGATGCCGTAAGTCACCGTCTCGGTATGTCACCATACTTTACTGCACTTAAGTGATAGCAAGAATATCACGTCATCATGAATACAACAGTGTAGTGGGCAACACGTGAAGTCCTCGCGAAATACAACCGAGTTAAGTAATCCCAGTAAAGGTAGGTTAGATGCAGGCTCATCAGTTCTACGCAGGTGCAATAAAGATAGTACATTGCACCAAGTCAGTAGTTAATCATTCTAGAGTGAAGCTGTACCCAAGCGCGACATACATGCGTGATAGAATAAGGAAGACGCAAAGGTGACGCAGATGGAGTAAGCAACGTTTCAAGTTAGCAGGGAAACGGTGCGTATAAGTCTGCTGTTATTCATATGCTCAGATAAGTTAAAGTCCGCGGTGAAAGAACGGGAATTATAGCTATGCTCACGTTAACGAAGAAGTAGAAGCACAGTGGAACAGTGATGACTGATCGTTGGTGTGTGCCGTGAATGCCGTCTCCTATATTAACTGCAGGCTGTCCGTGTCAGAAGATAAACCAGAGCCGGTCCGAGGTGAGCGATGTAGAAGCACCAGGCAGTCCGTCGAGTGTTACTATTTATTTCCCTCTGGTCATTCGTTCTGATCGCTAGCATTTCTCGACCAATTCATCAGTGCCTAGAATGCCACCTGTGCCCAAGTATTTCGATTTGGATGTCACATCGTGTTGCTGCTGTTCTGGAATCAACCTTGATGACTTTGTCTGAATCTCAGTGCGTTTACCTGAAGGCGGCAGCAGTACAATGGGGCATATAGAGGCACTTGAGAGAGAGAGAGAGAGAGAGTTATATTGACCTCATATTGCAACCGGCAATAAGTCGCGGTGTCAGACGAGAAGAAAGGTAATAGGATCCATCTGTCAAGTGGGAATGCAGCGAGACATGAACAGATGTCAGCGGGACTTGTAATTTAAGCGAGTCCCATTTAGACATCAAGCCGGCAGATAATGGTGTCACGCGATTGAAAATGCCATCAGTCTGTCAAGCTGAAGTGTGGCGCTTACAAGTGACCTCCAGTTAGTCAAACAACATGAGATATCAGTTGACACACCAACGGTCCCGGTTTCGAGTTGCAGTACTGCAGTGTTGCGAACGGGCATTTGTTCACACTTGTGTATGGACTACCACAAACTTGTTGGAGAAACAATAACACTACGAACGTGCGCGAATATGTATGGAATGTAAGAATAACAGCCATATTCCACTAGTGTTGTAAGGTCTCGACCAATACGACTATCGTTGGTTAGTTAACATCAAGCTAAAAGACAGTCATAAATTTAGTCAGAAGTGTGGGCAATAACAATAGGTAGAGACAGACAGAGAAATAGGGAAGCAAATGGCATCAAGACGGTTGCCAGGTGGAATGATGCACAAATCAGAGGTACAATAAAACAGTGATGTCTTATCGTTAGTGTGTGCTGCAGATGCCATCTGCTATATACGTTAGAAGGCGACAATATCACAGGTTCTGATAACTGCTATGACGGGATCACATGAATAATACATATAGTAAATCCTGCTGCGTCCTGTCCTACATTCGGTTTTCGAGTTACAAGAAGTAGCTTGTATGACATCTAATCATATATATATATATATATATATATATATATATATATATATATATATATATATATGGACTGCCTGTTTAAACTGTGTTTGGTGCTGAGCTATCTGCGGGATAATGTCTGATTACGACGTAGGGCAGCAAAAGCCACAAAGAAGCTGTCTCGCCGATGCCGCCTTATCTTTGAAGGATAGCTAGCTGTTTGTGACGGTAAGTTGTTGACACAAGGCGTAGGCGCTTTGATCATAATGTTCGGTTAGGGCAACCACTGGTGTGGACCATCTCGAGGCCTCCAGCTACGAAGACGACACGCATCAGCCAGCACTAATGTTTATGTGTGCTCAGGCAGCGATGGTGAATAGACACCAATTAGCCTAGGACGACTTCGGAGCTTTGAACGAGCCTGCGAATCTGACGGTGCACATCCAGCTACTAGTTTGGATCCGGTCAATTGAAGCAGCTTCAGCTTAGTGGCTCATAGCAATACCCACACTGTCTTGACCGGTATTCAAAGCTGTGTCATCTCGGCATAGAGGTAATTAGAAAATGAAGTGTTATGTAAAGAGGGTCAAAAAGTGAGCACAAACCGCGAGTCGTGAACACTGGTTTCTGATAAACAGCAGGCATTGGCCCACAGAGTCTCTGGCGTTCGGGCAAACGTTATTTGGTGACTTATCTGCAACAAACTGCGCATGTTGAATCATGTCAGTGTTAGTGAGGATCGAGGGCTCCAAATAAAAGCATATGAACTGAGCTCGGTTCCACATGGACTTGTTAAGTAGGTAGGAGTGACGATCCGCGACTGCGGGTGTGTCGAAACTAAAAGACAATCAGATACCTGAAGAAGGGGGAAGGCGAAGAATTGGGGGTAGAAAGAGAGGTAAAAGTGAAGTTAGGGTGGAACGATAAGGATGAATAGGCGTAAGAGGGGAGAAAGGAGGCAGGAAGGCCTGAGCGGTTCCGGCCCAACCCTCATCTATCGTGCTCGATACAGCAGATACGGCGCCGTTTATTATCCTATGCGACAGCCAGAGCATCAACAAATTGTTCTGGAGAAGTTGTCATTAAATTGCATAAACAGGGTGCTTCCAGAGTGTTCAGGCCTAGACGGGAGAATGATCAGGGTTCTCAACCAAAGGCTTTGGTACAAAAATCTGACCACATGACAGCGGAGTCGGTTTAAAGGAATAGGGAGTCACTATCAATCTAGCCAACAACCTGCAGGATAAGAGACTGAGTTTATCTGACCTCTAACCATTGACCAACCTAGTATGAGTGGCCCTGAAGGTGTAAAAGAACGACCCAGCGCGCTCAAAAGGTCGCTGAGTCACGCAAACCATCGCATCATATTAAGGCCTTGCTTCATTGTAATGACCAGCGTTGTAAAGTCTGTACTTAAGCAGCAAATTTAGGTATTGTCACTATGGATGGATGGAACGTGAAAAAACCTCACGGGCTTCATTGACCCGCGTGGTGTCTTATTCGATAACTTGTTCATCAGAGGACAGCTAACCGGATACATGAATCAGTCGTCCAATTCCAGCGGTTATTCGGTGACAAAAGACTGATGTAAAGGAGATCCAGTTCCGTGTGAGATTGTGTTTTGAGATGGCGAAGCATTTGTCAAAGCGCAACGCTCTACCGTAGGTGTTACGGTTTCCACCTTCCGAGTATGGCGAATGGTCGCTCGAAGATGGCGTTTTCGAACTTCCTTCCCCATCGAATCGAATGAATGCCTGGCGCTGATAAATCCAACAAATGGAACAGAACGAGTACGTATCGGGATGCCTGGTGGTTGTTGGGCAAGTTTAGTCTATGTCGGTTTCCAAATAAACCTAAAATCTTGTAATGGCAAAGCAAGAAAGCCACACCGAAATCATGTAATCGGGTGATTTCGGAGAATCCCATTCTACAGCCGACCCGTAGCCTTAACCATCGCATGCCTGCCTGGTAATCTGAGGGCGTTGGTTCGAGCCAGCGTAGAGACCGGGCGACTCTAGCACTATTCTTAGCCCAGGTGCGGCCGGTGGTGGTTGCGCGTCAGCGAAGTGTCGGTACTGCGTACCGCTGATACCTTACATATTCAACAAATGCAAGGGTTAGCTGAACACGGATGTAGAAAACTACGTGGATTAATTGACAGACACCAAAGATGACTAAAAGCCGAGCGGTCTGGCCGAACCTGTGTAACGATGCCTATGATCGGCGCAAGCTTCAAAATGTAAGCTCATGAGGCTGAGGTCGAAGTAAAGCGATGCCGTTTCGAACGCAAAAATTACGCGACAATTATCGTCCAATCAAACTATCACTTTGAACCACCATTGTTGTTGTAAGTGAAAAGGTTTGGGACAAAGAGCATAACTATCACTTAAAACACCGATCGTGAGGTTTAGGATGTACAACAACAACAACTTCAACACTCACTCGGTTCAAAACGGAAAATCGGTCCACTGACGGTTCCAAAGAACGTTCCAGTTGACTGACCTGAGGCGATTTGCGAGCTGAGTCATTTAACCGTTGTACTGTACGCCCTCTAGCAGCGTAAGCCTGCCAAATATATGACATCTGACCAAACAATAAACGCAGCCAGTAAAACTGGCTTGGACACATGCAAGCAACGATCGGGCCGAGGTCTAGGTGAACACGGAGCTCAAACACCGACCATGGATTGAACTCCATCGCGTCCCCAGGAGAACCAAGGCTTTGTCCACCGGATTTGGATTGCAAGCAGGAAAACACTGGACAGCGAATGCTCAAATGAGCTGTATGGACACCAGTGAGGCTCAGAAGCCTGGCTGATGCAATCATGTTATCTTCAGTTGGACAGACAGTGATGGACTATAAAATGCAAGAAAACAACAAACGCAGTGAGCACTGGAACAACACGGTTTGCTGGAAGTGACAGCTTGTATGATCTATGTAAAGAAACATAGTAGTGGGGGAACGAAAGGAAAAAAATCCTCATGATGCTTGCTCAAGTGGAGATTTTGGGACGAAACAATGACGGACAGGGACTCTACCTATTGGACATTATATTAAAGTCATAAGGAGAAACGAAAGTTCCAAGGCTCCAATGTAAAAGCCAGGTCTGGGGAACAACGTCATCAAAGCCATGGAAAATACAAAAGGTACGCTTCAGATTGAGTAGTCTCATGGAAATGTGTGGCCTTCGAATCAAGCCATAGGTTTGATATAACTATTTACAGTTTATAACTCTTAGACTTTGCATGCCTAGTCCGAAGGAACTCTTAACTTTTCGGGAGAATACGTGTCATCTGACCCGGACCGTGATCACACAAAGTGAGTGATGAAAAAGATTAAACGTGCCTTCGATCTTTAAGGAATAAGTATGTCTTCGATGGATTACTGTTCAAGTTGAGCGATACCATGTCGATCAATGAAAATAAGATGCTCGTGATGAAATGGACTAAATAAATGGTTCAAAATCGAATTCATGGACAAAGAAGGGTGAAAGTGAACAAAAATGAAACCTAGAGGAAAAGAACGAATATGTCTCGATAACTCGTCGTAGCTGTTGTCGGAAAGCTTTACCAGTGTTCACAGAACAAGAGCATCATGTTATGCACGGGTATTATTACAGAACAAAAATACAATGCAAATCAAAGTAAAGTTACTCAGAGGATGCAATAGACCACTTATTTATTCAATTACCAAAAGCGGATAGTAAGATGCTGATAGGTTAAAACGAAGGAGAAAGAGACTACGACAACAGACTATAAGAAACATGACGTAACGTAACCATTACCTTGCTGACCGCTTCAGTGCATCCTACGTAGTGTGATTCATCTCGGAAATCATTGGGACCGCTGTTTGGTTGCTCTTCGTGAATGCTCTCTTGGTGATTAACTTGTTCTGTCGTGTTCCACAAGTCCCAAAACAAATCGGCGCCCTCGAGGCGGACGGTCTTGTGCAAAGTAGTAGACAAGCTGCCGACCGGCACCGCAGGTGCAGTTTCGCCCTGAGAAAATGGAGCTAAAGATGTGATGGATGAGGATACTGAGAATCAATCTGGAGTGTGCCCGAAGATGAAGTTCGGGTTACAAGGATGGGGGGATGTACAGGAAAGCCAAGCAGATCCACCGAACTGACGGCAGTTAAAAATATATCAAATACGCCAACGTGGTCACCTTGTCTAGGTGTTACCTAGTGGGCACATTCACGGGAAGTAAACAGATTCCAACGAGCACTAACTCCATAAACACCAAATCGTACAGTAAAAGAATAACAGGTGAGATGAAAGCAGAAAATAAACGGATAGATACAACTTCAGTGACTGACCATCGTACCTCGAAGACTACCAATAGTAAAATCGATCAAGAGGCGACAAGTAACCGTTCTTCCGTCAAAAAGTTAGGAAAACAGTCAAGTAAGTACGGTAGACAAACTCCCGTTCAATCGATAGGCCCTTTTTACAGCCACTTGTGCGTGCACCGAGAAGTTGAAAGCAAAATGCAGAAGTTAAAACTGAACAAAACCATATTTGACGACTCGTTTGCTAGAATAACTCTTTGTGGTGGTTCGGGATTATCTCGTTCCGGCGATTGGTTTGGAGACGGTGTTCCGAAATGTGGTGGACTTTTGCCAACATTCACTTCATAAAACGTAACGAATGTCCGTTTGAAATCACTTCGAAGTGACGGATGTGACGTACAATTTCTTCCCTTTAGTGGAGCATTGTATTTCAGCAAATGCATGCTGACATCACTCAGTTGGTGACGCAACAAAGGAAAAACGTATTAACTGAATACTCAACTACCGGTTCTAAATGGCCGCGATTTCCTGACTTCGTTACACTGCTTTGCGGGTAGGCTATTCAGCCGATGGCTTGGGGTAGCGTCGCCTAGATTAATGTCATACTTCGGCCTTGGCAACCCCGTATTCGCACGTCTGCTGACTAAACCATGGACTGTTTTCCACGGTGTTCATTTGCTCCTGCTTTCCACACCCATGCGCCTCTAGCACGCATCAATAGTTCATTTGCTAACAATGCTTGTTAGGCGTCCCCAGATTCCTGTTCTCATGGATCTGCTGCCAAGACCGGCTCCGGCGATACCCATAAACAGCAACCAATGGCCTTGATTTTACCCCAAATTCTCGTCTCATCTGTTATCCACCAATACACGTAGAATCAGGCAGCTTAGGCAACAGTCTGGTTTACCGCATACCATAGAACACATTGTCATTGATGTCTGATGCCCGATCGAAAGACCGCAGTGTTGTGGTTAAGTTGATGCTCGCCATCTGTATCTCTTTGGTGACCCAGAAATAGAAGCAGCGAGATCGGTGTAGATGCAATAGTAAGCATCAAGGCCGAGAAACCACTGTCACTAGTTTCTGATGAAGAGCCACTGCAAGAGATTCGAGTTCGGAGATTTTGCACAATGAACTAGCGTTGCGAGGAAAGATGCAATTTATTAGTGAACTCTGCTTTGTTCCAAATGACTGCAGTTGTGACTCAGTCAAGACGACTTATACCATGAACTTGGTCAACTCCTGAGCATAGTCTGCAAATCCAATATTGTTGTTCAGTATGTAGAGCTTGACGCTCAGGTCAGTTGCCTATCACCAGGTGGACGTAACCATGATGGTCCTCACAAGCTCGAGGAGGGCCATGTAGATAAAAGGAGACTTTTCACATTGCCTGAAGACAATCGTACGTTTCCCTCACGCACCGAACGCAGTCATAGGAGTAAAGGATATGTAACTTGGCGCCCACCTAGCCAATACCAACATGGTTGCAAATTGATTACACGGTAAACAGTATTAGATAACTAAGAAGCGTACGGGACTGGAGATAATTTTGGTAAAGCTTTCCAGGATCAAATCGCGCTCTGGGCCGTGCGAACATCTGCATGCGTTTTGCAGGGAGCCCCAAAAACGAAGCGCTACTAGATACGAACAGACTAGCTGATTCCGTAGTTCAGCTGAGCTATCAATTTTTAACGCTAAACGCATTCGCAATCCACCATCGAGCAACACTTGTCTTCCATACAGAGGGCAATTATCACTTCCAGGTAAACAAGTTGCGGTCTCCCTCAACACACTGAGGGTATGGACCTCTGCTAAATCTCTGGAGCCGTTAGACTGGCCAATGCACCTAGATCTTGTCAAAAACACACGGCCACAAACAGCTAGTTCTCGTGTGACAATAATGCAGCATCGGTGAAGCAGTGTCCTTGCGACTTTCACAGCCCTATACACCCTGCTGACAACTCGGTAGTGGACAAAATTTAAACGGGCAATCGGACTAGGAGACTACAACTAACGCGCTACTGGCATCGGTAATGGTCAATGTCCCGTAAAGTCTCCAGAAAATAACAAGGTGGATCTCGTGGACTCCAGTCTGGAAACCGAGATTGACCAACATCACCTAGTTTGGTCATCAGTAGCCCAATTCCCAGCTGCAAAGTTAAGTTTTGCTCCCCCCGTGCGGACGCTGGTGCTATCCGAAATCGACAATGTTTTGCAGGCAACTGTGAACAAAGACTTCGAGGTGTTGTATTAAAAAAGCAGTAATTAAACGTAAGATGTATATCGGTACTTAAACAGGCAATTACAACCCGCCATAGAGACTTTTCCGGTCAATCACACCAGTATTTAACATAATTTATGGGGAGAGAGAGCGTATCTCAACCAGCCGGATTCGGCCGGTCACAACATAAGGTACCTCGGATCGTATGACCGAAGAGCCCAATTCTCACTTCTATGGATTAGGAGTCTTCGACAATGAGTGAGGAATGATCGTGTCTGGTGCCAAAGTTGTTTTGGCAGCAATGAAGTTAAACGTTGTCAAAGAAAATGCGAGTATTCCTTTCAGCAAGTTGGTTTAGCTGCGCCAACCGAAATAGTTGAGTCACGTTCTAGGTATGTAGGAGGAGCGTTTGCCCCATCGATACTTATTTGATCGTATAAGAATGGGCTAGAACAGACAGCGAGATAGTCAGTATTCCACTTGGCGACGGCACATGAAGTGGCTGATGCCACGTCGAGACGCCACTGGGTCCTTGTGTCCTTCCGGTTGCAGATCCAAGGAGGAGGATTGCTGATGGTTCGAAACGCTCGGAGGTAGTGATTAACCAACGTACACAGAAAACATGTGCGCACATTTGTTGGCATTCTGATGCTTAATGCCTCGATCTTTGAAAATGACAAAAAAGAAGGCGTGAAAAATGCACCGTTAGACGGTGAGCGAGGTAGTGACGTCGGAGGCAAGAACGCGTCAGCGGTTCGAGTGCAACCCGATAGGTGTCATGTAAACGCTGTCAGTTTCAACACCTGTGGCAGAACATCGGCGATCAAATGACAGTGCTCCGAGCATGGTTAGTTAAAACAAGGATATAATGACGTAATCTATTTGTAACATTAGAGATGAAAGTTGGCCATCTGTGTGGTAAAATTCAGCATTCGGACGACAAAAAGCTGGGGAAAGTGCGGGACCAGATAAGTTAACCAACACATATGAGTGGCCTATCTGCAAAACAAACCAGGAACACGAATAAAAAAGAGATTGTTGGACAGGTGCGAAACTTGCCTAACTTGAAACCCAAATCGAAACATCAGTCAGTTAGGGCTGCGCAATATAGTGACGTTAAACGATGAGTAACGCCGGGTATATTCCCCACGAGGTACCGTGTCTTTTCTAAGTGCTCAAACAAGAAGCCGCTAGTCAAAAACCAGCCTAAGCGTATCAATGGAGATGCGGGGAGAGTAGTGTTCAAGAAACGTGAACAACCTAGATAGTATAATAAACCACTGAGTATGTGACTGGCTAGAGGTCGTACGGTTGCACACCAAAGTCATGCCTAACACGTGATAGTGCGTGTCATCAGTTTGCACGTGATGCATGATTAATGTAGAGGTGTCCCCTCTCGAAATAGAGCGGATGATACTAGCTGATCAGATATTCGCACCTCTAATGTCCGGAGTAAAGCAACAAGCAATGTTGACGCACATGTTTGCCCCTATGATTGAGCGAGTGACGTAATCTTCATCTGCTTGTGTGCATAGACCTTCGTTTGTTAAGGGACACTTGGTTGTGGTGGCATTCAGCCTGGCTACAAGAGACTCAAGGTTCTTGGCCTTTGCCAAAATGAGTTTCAAGATAGCAAGAAGGAACAACATTTCAACCGAATACGCTGAATTCAGATATTTCGGGTATTCTCATCAGCTTAACATACAAGTTGTGGAATAAGGACGTTGTGCTTAAAAGGAAACTACGTTCGGTGAGTAAGGACCAACAAGTGCGTTAACAATTCTGAGGGTTGTGGTCCTGGCTTAACTGCTGGATTCATAGCGAAAGCCCTACGTGCACTTATGACAATATGGGTCTACTGGCAAGTTAAACAGATGACCTCGCCACTTCTATCGTCGCCCATTTTGACCTAGATAATTACTAAACTCAAGGACCGAAGACGAACGGTCTAAGTGCATGTGCACCAACAATATTGAGTGCCACTGCCATTCGTTGGCTCCAAAACACCCCTACTCTGTGACTAACTCTGAACTCTTCATGTTAAAGTATCTGGTGTCTTAGCGATACTGTCAATTTTAACACACCTAAATGCACAATGCTCAAGTTCAACTGCACATATTAGGTTGTTCTTTCCGCTGATAAACATTACTCGCTTTAAACGTTTCGCCTTCTTCATGTTATAAATAAATAAATCGTATATTCTCGTTTCAAGCGAGACAAGCCTGTTACGGTATATTCAGGTAATGAAAAGCTTTTTCCGATGCGACGACCAGGAATGATCGGAAAATGCACAACAGTCGTGTAAATTGATTTTCACCTCTGACAGGGCGTAAATGCTGCGTAATCTGATGCTGCACAGGATGTCTGTGTCCGGATTGTTTGGCCCTTCAGATTATAGATACGAAACGCCTATAAGATGACTTTGGATACGTAAGTATAAAATTTTTATGACATTATGACGGTTTCTTTTCCCAAAACTATTTGGTAATATCAAAGGTTG